ATAGTTGTGTGGTTTTTGAGTGATCAATCAAGGCGAGATTATATTTGGTGTTGAGAGTTACTGATTTTGATCTTTAAAAATGGATCTGAAAACAAGCTCTGGTGGTGTGGAGGTCCCAGAAACTGAGAATTTAGAGAATCAGAATGGAAATTTGGATTCCAAATTGAAGGGAACAGGAGGTGTTAGTGAGAAAAATATATCAGCCACCGGGATTGGAAGCATTAGTAGCAAAGATATGATCTTTCGTGCAGATAAAGTTGATCTGAAAAGTTTGGATGTTCAATTGGAGAAGCATCTGAGCCGTGTTTGGTCAAGAAATGTAGAGAACAATCAAAAGCCTAAAGAGGCATGGGAAATTGATCCATCTAAGCTGGAAATAAGATATCTTGTAGCTCAGGGCACTTATGGGACCGTTTATCGTGGTACCTATGATAATCGAGATGTTGCAGGTAAACATTTACTCTATGCATGATTATGGTTTATAATTTAATTTTTATAATTGTCTCGTTGTCGATTATATAAAGCTATAGTTTTTTTTTTTTCTTTTTCTGAGTCATTTAGGACTCTTCTTAATGGGTGTGAGGAGTATGTTATAGTTCTGTTATTTGATCCTTTTCAATGTACACCCGACAAGTTCTTTGTTGAGCACGCGAGTGTGTCTTAGATGTTGATCACTGGGAAATGTGATGATTATTCATCCGATTGCTGTTGATACTTCTCTGAAGTCATTGAAAACTTTGGTTTAATACATTCTGATGACAGATTTTTTAATTTTATCATTTGTGAGGTAATTTGAAGTGCTGAGTTTGGTTTCTGACAATGTTGGACTAATTGTCGCATCTTCTGATGATGATTGGGTCTTTCTGAATTCTGATAGGGATGGAAAGATTTAAAGCAAAAAAGCAAAAAATCTGCATTCTGTGCTTTGCAGTAGTATTAAATCTTGTTTGCCATGGACTTTGAACTCATACTGTGAATTAGAGGTGCTTCTAGTACCATTTGAATCCAGTTGAGAATGATTCTATTTCTTGGACATGTTTCTCATATCAAGCAATCTATAATTATTTGTTACATAGTCAAGCTATTGGACTGGGGAGAGGACGGCATGGCCACTGTCGCTGAAACTGCTGCTTTGAGGGCATCATTTCGGCAGGAGGTTGCTGTCTGGCACAAACTTGACCATCCAAATGTGACAAAAGTACAAACTTGCTTCCTTCATATTATACTTTGTTATTTAAGATCAACGTCCTGAGCTTTAATAAGGATTTGTGATTGACCAATCTAGTAAAAAAAGTTGATTTTGCGCTTCAAATTTTGATGTTCATACTCACTTATATGCAGTTTGTTGGTGCATCAATGGGGACTTCCAATTTGAAGATACCTTCAAAAAACCCTTCTGAAGGTTATACAAACCTTCCATCGAGGGCATGTTGTGTTCTGGTGGAATTTCTCGCTGGAGGAACATTAAAGAATTTCTTATTCAAAAATAGGAAAAAGAAACTTGCCTTTAGAGTCGTGATTCAACTTGCATTGGATCTATCTAGAGGGTGAGTTCCTGTTTGAGGGATATGCCAATGAACTATAGACAGCTCTAACTTAACTTTGTTCAACTTTTCCAGATTGAGCTATCTGCACTCTAAGAAGATTGTACACCGTGATGTCAAAGCTGAAAATATGCTTCTTGATACATATCGAACATTAAAGATTGCGGATTTTGGTGTTGCTCGTGTGGAAGCGCAGAATCCCCAGGACATGACTGGTGAAACTGGAACCCTTGGATACATGGCCCCAGAGGTACTCGTTCTCCCTGTTAAGAAGTTCTGTTTTGAACAAAAACATCAAAGGCAACGATCTTAAAAATACAGATACAAAATCCTTCAAATTTAAGCATCAGACACTTTCATTTTTGCTCCCCATTCTCTATTCATTAGTAAACCCACTTCACTTGTTACTGGGAACAAGCTTACATAACGTTTTCCTCTCTTTACTTCTGTACTTTGCTTGTTTTAGGAAAGCACAAGCTAGTTTACCAGCCCAAGATATTGTCTCTTTTCCTTTTCCCATCTTGCCCCTTCCACTCCACCCATGATATTCCGCTCAGACCAAGGTATTCTTACTAGCAATATGAGCCTGTTGGTTTCTTATTGAGCTCCAGAGGGCACATCAGAATGTATAGTACTTGCAGGTATTACTTAGTGGCGGTAAAACCTTGTATGGGCTGGTAGGAGTGCAACCTACTCTTGTCCCTGGTAATATTGAATGGAATGGTTAGTCCAATGTGCTAAAGAAGTTGGATGTAGACTTAGTTTGTCTACTGCATTCATTTCATTGCATTTTATTCTTCATGTATGTAGGAGCTGATTTACTTGAATCTCTCTCTCTCTTTTTCTTACAAAGACACATGGTTGCATGTCCATGCACTCACAACAAACACATATCCTCTCATACTCACAGACCCGTACCACAGAGCAAGTAATCTGGATAATGTAAATATTGTTTTTATGCTTAAATTATAAAACTAGAAACCAATTTGGATTATACAACTTTATTTTCCAGTTCCTTCAAGATGGGCTTTTGTGTAGGTTCTTGATGGCAAGCCTTATAACAGAAAATGTGATGTCTATAGCTTCGGCATTTGCTTGTGGGAAATTTATTGCTGTGATTTGCCCTATACTGATCTTAGCTTTGCCGAGGTTTCTTCTGCAGTTGTCAGACAGGTATGTTTGACTGAGACCTTCCTTGTGTCATTAATGATCTCGTTGTGCCTGTTTTCCCTTGTTGTCACTTGAGCTGCTAAAAGAAATCCCAATTAGCTACATTGTACAGTCTTCCAGTTGAACATGGAAGTTTTTGAAAATGAGCATCTGCCATCTATTGGAGTTTGAATGTATGTTTCATGTCACCTGATGCTTGAACATGAATGAATGAATATTCATGAAATATTTGGCGTCTGTGGTGACAAATGCTTTAAGCGTTCATCTCAATGGTTTTCTTCCTTCATGTTTTGTTGACTTCAACACAAAGTGACTCGTACCTTTATGTTGTGGCATTTCCAGAACCTGAGGCCTGAAATCCCAAGATGTTGTCCGAGTCCTCTGGCAAACATCATGAAAAGATGCTGGGATGCGAATCCGGAAAAACGACCTGACATGGATGAAGTGGTGAGGATGTTAGAAGGTATTGACACAAGTAGAGGAGGAGGAATGATACCAGAAGACCAGGCGGGTGGGTGTTTCTGCTTTGCTCCAGCTCGGGGACCATAAAATTTCGCACTTTTGTCATAGGAGTCTCTGTAGAATTGGACGACAATTTTATGGTACCATTTTAATTGGGTTGGTCGGGAAGTTTTGGTTCCATTGGGTGTTTCAAATTCAATTCCGTTGTTCATAAATGAAAAACTGCTTAAACGTTGATGGTGATTTGAGTGTAAATTTGATCGGTAGCAAGATTGATTGTTACCTTAGAATCTTATTCTAGGGAATTATCGAACGTGTAACATACTGGATTGGATTCATCAAAGTGAGAACAAAAAAGGCAATCAAGATGCTTGTGAATTGAAGTAGTAATACAAATGGCAGCTAATTAACGAGAACAAAACCCAAAAAGAAAAAGAAAAGTAAAAATTTTTTTCTTAGCATTCTCGATCAGGTTCTCAGTACACTATAATCTGTTCTCAAATTTCACGACTTCGTCTGAGATTGCAATTTTTGGTGCTATTATAAATCTAACATTTTCAATCAAGTTCTTCTGACCCACGGATGCTTCCCAGCGCCCCCCCCCCCCCTTTCATTCATTTGAGTTGAGATAAAAATTGGCACAGAAACTTGGACGGAATCGTAGTCGTAGGACAAATAAATACCCATATAACGAATTTGAACCTAAACGGTTTTCATAATCAACAAAAAGAGATCAAAAGACTTCTCCCAGATAAGTGCTGGATGGATCAAGATAAGGTTGATTATATAATGTCCAACCCACAATCTCTGAACTATTGAAAAACCAATTCATCATCTTCGTCTTGCACTCAAACCATCATATCATATTAATTGGTCCCTTTCTCCGCAATCCAAACGGGTTCTTGTGATTGAAATTTGAAAACGAACGATCAGATGGAACAAGCAAAGGTTTGGGGCTGCTGTGTGTGTTCATAATTGCGCACGAAGAAGACAGCATAACACGGGCGCGGACATGATGTGATAAGTTATTAAAAAGACTAGCAATCAAATGAATCCTAATCTTAAATGTTTTTTTTTCCTACCTGTGCACTCAAATCAGTTTGTGGCAGACCGGAATTGATGACATTTTTTTGGCAGTTTGTCATTCGAGTTTGTGGGTGATAATTACTAATGTTATGCACTTATCTTTGAACTGGTGTTTTCTACTCAAGTGGGCTCTTAGTCAAATGATCATGAAAATGCCCCTTCCAAGTAGCTTGTTTGGAATTCCACCAATTGGTTGGTTTTCTTGTGGAAAACTTTTTCTTTGCTTTTTTTTTTTGCAATTTCACGGTCAAATTTTTGATGACACTAGTTTTTTTAATTATAATTGTCTTTAAATCAGCTGTTTTGGTTTTGGAGTAAAATTGACCTAGGTGTAGAAATAGCACTAGCCAATGTTTTTTTCTTTTTAAACCATCAAGACCAGAATATCCTTTAAACTACGGTAATCAATAAATTACGAATTTATCGAAGCACCAAAAAATGGTGAAAAAATGAATAAGAAGGCTATACGATATACTATTTCTATAACTAGATCAATATATATATACACTGTCAGTATATATAAGATCTATTCATTTATTTAAATACTAAGAAATGAGGGTACCTGAATAATAAAGCCATACGATGACATATGATATAAATTTAATACTCCTTATTTTCTTTTTTTGGTCAAAATTTAATACTCGTTATTTGACAACGATAGGCTCCTGTAAATGTTAAATACTCATCTAGTAAATATTAACTTCTACAGAAAATGTAAAATAAAAAAAGTCCAGTATTGTGATTTTAATATAGGAACAATCGGGTGACTTCACGTTTTGGTGTTCCTACAAGTGTGGCAAATAGAATGCTGTGAAGCAGACAGGACACGCTACTTCTCGTGTCGTTTCATTCAATTGCTCTCTCTCTCTCTCTCTCTCTCTTTAATGCTTATATGAACTACTGAAAATTCTGCCACCTTTGCTTGCTGAACCACTTCCAAATTCCAAGAAGAGCAGAAAAGAAAAGAAAGAAAACCAAAAGGTAATCAAATTTACATAGCAGTAGTATCATGTTTAGTTGAAAGGAGGAATCAGTAGTATAACCTGGTCACCCTCATGTCTTTAACGTACTGAATTCTTGATAGGGGAAGAGGAGAAATGGTTGAATCATCAGCAGCAATAACTGATTTGCTCCGCCAGTGTGGTGGTTATGCAGTCATAGATGGTGGTCTTGCTACAGAACTTGAACGTCATGGTGCTGACCTCAATGATCCTCTATGGAGTGCCAAATGTCTCATGACTTCCCCTCACCTCATCAGAAGAGTACTCTCTCTGCCTCCCTGTTAACTGCGTGTGGGTGTATGTGTTGTTTTTGGGGTGCTTTTTTTTTTCCCTTCTCTGTTAAATAGGCAATACTTTTCGGAAAAATTGATCGTTGGGAAGTGAAATGTACTCAATTACAGTGTACAGGTCATTTGATTTCTGGTTGAATTGGTAAGAACAACTTGTTTTCACTGAACTCTATTGCCAATATATTCACATTTATATGTGTGGTGAGCGTAGTGGGATAACTCGTTTAGGATGCTTTAATGCTTGACCTTGTTATTTGTTAAGGTTGGCAAGTTTAGGATTCAAAGTAGGTCCACGGGTCCCAGCTGCTTCTGCACTTGGAACTCGTATTCTGTTTTATCAAGAATTATCTTTTCTACAAGAGATAAGACTCTACTGGCTCTTAGTTACAGAGCGGAACTGAATTGCTACCAGTGATGACAAAGAAACTATTCAGCACGTCTGCTAATTTTAATGATGGCCATAAGTAGCCAGCTTAAAAAGTTGTGTGAATTCGGCCTTATTCTTTCAACTGCGATTAAATATCAGCAACTTGGCCATGTGGTTTTCTTGTTTTATTCTTTATTGTTTGCTTCACGTGACAGGTACACCTTGATTACCTTGAAGCTGGTGCTAATATCGTAATATCTGCATCATATCAGGTTATGTGCCTGTCTTTTTTTTATTTTTCCCTCTTTCGGGCCTTCCTAAAGATATCGTTTAATTATTGTTGAAAGAAGTTATCATGAAGTTTGGGACTTTTGAATTGTCTTGTTTGGGAGACAGGCTACTCTTCAGGGATTTGTAGCTAAGGGGATATCAAGAGAAGAAGGTGAAGCTTTACTGAGGAAAAGTGTTGAAATAGCACGCGAGGCACGGGATATATATTGTGATAGAGCCAGCAAAGGTTCTTGGGATGTTATTGGTGATCCAAAAGCTTTAAAACGTCCACTCCTTGTTGCTGCTTCTGTTGGAAGCTATGGAGCTTATCTTGCTGATGGCTCTGAGTATAGGTGAATCTTTTAATTCTCTTCTTACATTGGAAGCAGAGTAGTATTTCAGTGCCCAAATACTGAATTGAAATGTTTGAACTTGTGCTAGAAACTTTTCCTCTTGAACACTTGTGACCTTCTCATGCATTGCAGTGGCATATATGGGGATGCGGTGACTCTGGAGACTTTGAAAGATTTCCATAGAAGAAGAGTTCAGGTTCTTGCTGACTCTGGTGCTGATCTGATTGCATTTGAGACAATTCCAAACAAATTGGAAGCTATGGTATTGTTTTTTGAGTTGTGACTATCTCAGTGTACCTCAAACATTTCTTTTGCTGGAGCAATTTAGATGTTTTGCTGTCTATTTTGTCTGATTGCTTCTTGATATAGGCCTATGCTGAGATTCTCGAGGAAGAGAACATAAAAATTCCGGCCTGGTTTTCTTTCAATTCTAAGGATGGGATCAATGTAGTTTGTGGGGATCCTATATCAGATTGTGCTGCAATTGCTGATTCATGTGATCGAGTTGTTGCTGTTGGAATCAACTGCACTGCTCCTAGATATATTGATGGACTTGTCCGATCAATCAAGAAGGTATAACCAATTCTAGGATGCATTTGAAATGAATGAAATTGAATTTGATAATAAAATTTAATTAGGAACATTGGCTTTAATTCTCTTGGGAAATCCAGGTAGCTTTGTTGTCTTGTCTTAGTTCTAATTGCAGTCTTTTAATCACAACATCTTTTTTTTTTCAGGTTTCTAAGAATTCTCATTAGAGAAACCAATTCCGGATTATGATTATTAGACATATCGTATCTCCATTGCATCAATAAATTAGAAATCGAAAAATCTTGGATGTCCATTTATGTATTGGGAACTTATTGCTTTACTTGCTAATATTTCTGCAGGTCACTACTAAACCGATCCTGATATATCCGAACAGTGGTGAAACTTATGATCCTGACAGAAAGGAATGGGTGGTGAGTAGCTTGGTCTGTAGAAGAGCTCTTTCATGTTTTCTCGATAGGTGAAACTTTTGTCATGTGACTGCAAGCAATTAGCACAACAGGCTTTCGTATCTCTAAACCAATTTTTCAGTTTCATGGGCATTGTTTTATCTGTGTCGGTTCTACACATCAAACCTGGTTACTGAATGTGTGAAGTTTATGGGGATAGTTCGACTGTATGTCATATAATTTCTTCATAACACCTCTGAGACATCCGAATTTGTCAAATTACTGAATCTTATAGCTGCAACTGGAAGCTAAAATTCATTGTTTCTTCTTCCTGTAGCCTACAACAGGGGTTGCAGAAGGAGATTTTGTATCCTACGTTGGGAAATGGCGCGACTCGGGGGCCTCTCTCATCGGAGGTTGTTGCAGGACCACTCCGAACACCATCAGAGCAATCTCTAAATCTCTATCTAGCCAACAAGACTCCTTAAATTTTGTAGCGCCCTGAAATTCCAAGTCTTATTTTCATAACCAGCAAGACTAGGCAAGGCCCAGTCCTGTCTCCATGTGTATGCTTCACGCCTAAATAAATGTTAGTTAACTCTCGGGTTGTTGTTTTTTTTTTCTTACTTTGATCACTTGGTATTCCTACCTTCAGTAAGACTAATCTGAATTCGGTCCGGAGAGCGTCCGTAGAATTTGATTCTTATTCGAGGGTGAAGGGCTAACTCAAATCTCTTATTCGGAAGTAAAGAGTTAAGCCCAAAACTTTTCAAGGCGTCACATGCATGCAGAGGAGTCGAACTCGCGATCTCTTTTTGTTGTTTTGGTTCCATGGTTGTATGCGTAGCGATACTTAACATTGCAAAGAATGGAAAGGATATATTATGCAGTTCGGACGCATATGATCCAAACTTTTTGGCCTGTGCGGAGACATATGATGCAACAGTTTTGAAATAATAAAAGCTTTTCCTTAAGTATGATTAAAATTTCCGAACAGCACTTCTGAGAAATAGAAGTCCGGGCTGGGGCCCAACTTAATTAAACGGACCACCTCCGACTCCTGTTCTGATAATCTTTAAGCAAGTGCAAAGATAATTAATTCGACAGGTGCTCATCTTAATTGGGTAGTATTGTATCACTTTATTAGCTTAACATGTTCTGTATTTTTTGTAGGGGTGGCAATTTTCGACACGACCTGAAAATACGACACGAACCTAACACGAAATTAATGGGTTTGGGTTGAGGTTTCGGGAATTCGGGTCAGAATCGGGTTGGACCCGATGAACCCGAAAAGAAAACAGGTCGATTTCGGGTCAATCCGTGGTGACCTGATATGACCCGATATGACCCGTTTACGAATTAAAAATAATTTAATAAACATAAAAATAATTTTATCTAACTAAACTAAGTTATTCTTTTTTTCAAAGGCATTAATTACTTAATCCTAAATGAATTTATTTAATTTGTGTGAAGTTGAAATTATTATATTTGGACAAATAATATATTATATTATTTTTTACTTTATACTGTTTTAATTTATTTTATATTTTGTTTGGGATAAAACACTTTTATTGTGTTTAATTTATTTTAGATTTGGTTTGGAATTATTTATTTAAATTTTTATTACTTGATTATGTAATTAATTTTGTGAGAAATTAATTTTATTAGAAATTACAGTGATAAATTAATAAATTAAAATTAAGTTTCGGGTCATTTCGGGTCGACCCGCCAACCCGTCAACCTGAAATTTTCGGGTTCGGGTCAACATACCTGACCCGTCACGGGTTGGCGGGTCGGGTTCGGGTCAACAGATTTTCTGACGGGTTGACCCGAACCCGACCCGCCAACCTGATTTGGACCCGAATTGCCACCCCTAATTTTTTGTACGATACAGAAAAGGGCTTTTGACAAATTAGTTATATGGAAATTAAACAACAAATAAATCTTACGTACTTTATAACTATATATTTTTTCAATTATCAAAAAAAAAAGGAGCATAATTAGACTATTTCCTGTTCAAGTAATGGATTTAGAATTAGTTATTATAAAACGTCACAAAAAATAATCATTAGTATTAAACCGTTTTCCATCAAATATCACACAACACTTATGTTTCGCAACCCAAAAAAAAAACTAAAAAACTGATGATAATTAACATAGTAATAATAATAATAATAATAAACTAAAAAATAAAAAGAAATAACTATTCATACTTCACTGGTAAACGCTAAACCCTGCCAAAACTGGGGGACCAAAGGGCCAAACCCCAAAACGTATTTTATTTTAGGGTTAATTATATTTACCTCCCCTGAGGTTTGACCAAATAACGAATCGATCCCTGAGATTTGACCAAATAACAAAAAGGTCCCTCAACCGTTAGTCTTTGCCGTTGACTGTTAGGGTTAATTACATTTACCCCCTTGAGATTTGACCAAATAACGAATCGATCCCTAAAATTTGACCAAATAACAGATTCCTCCCCCACACTAATTTTTGTCACTTATATGTAATGGAAATAGCCAAAAATCTAAATAACCCTTATTGATTTCCATCAAATTTTTAAGGATTAATTACATCCATCTCCCTTGTGGTTTGACCAAACTACTTTTAAATCCCTGTGGTATGGTAATATTACATGTACCTCCTTTTTAAGTAATCTCGTCAAAGACACTTAAATAGAAGTAGTAAAATATCATATTTACCCTCTTTGTAAAACTTGTAGTTAGAGAAAACTTACCGTTAAAAAATTGAAGGTGGTTTCAATAATAACGAATTAAACTAAGAGTTTATTACTTAAACAAAACAGTTTTTAACCAGTATAAAAGAAAAAAACCAAGCATGTAATAATCAAACTTGATAAAATATGCGCATAAAGGAACAAAAGAAAGAAAATGAAGAAAGAAGAAAAGCTTAGAAAACAAAAAAGAAATTAAAATGTGAAAAGCAAAGAAAGGAATGGAAAAAAAAGTAGAGTGAAAAAAGGAAACAGACAATTGAGCGATGAAAGAAAAATTATAGAAGCAATGTAAAGGTTCACTCAATCCACCACAAAAATGAGACGGACATGATTTTAAAAAATGAGACCATTACCAGATTCTCAAATATCCTTTGACTACTTAATCGGCCATGACAAAGTGTTTTGTGTAGAAAAGCCTTCTGCTAGTTTGGTTTTACAATGAGTTACTAATAAATAGAGTAAAATGCCAATAGAAAGCTGGTACTTCATTTATATAATATAGGAAAAGTATAAGGAGTTGGTACATTATGGAAAGAAAAAATGCGTACTACATTTTCAACCCTCTTATTCGCTAGAAATTTTAATTTTACTTTATCTTTTAAATAAATTATTTTTTGAAAAAATAGGTACTTTGTTCATATAATTGGGAAAAGTCGTAAAGCACTGGTATTTTATGGGATAATGGGTATTACCCCATGTAATCCAAAATTTGTCACACTATTTCACCAAATTACAAAATACATGTATGGCAAATTTTGTATTACAAGGTCTATCAAAATTTACTCTGATTTTATCTGTTAAATAAATTAATAATTTGTTGGATTCAAAATTTTATCTGTTAACCAAAATTTTTTTCTGAAAACACAAAAATCGATAGGTCAAAAATTTGATGGAAATCAATAAGGGTTATTCAAACTTTTGGCTATTTCCGTTACATATAAGTGACAGAAGTTAATGTGGGGGAGGAATCTGTTATTTGGTCAAATTTTAGGGATCAATTCATTATTTGATCAAATCTCAGGGGGTAAATGTAATTAACCCTAACAGTCAACAATGACTAACGGTTGAGGGACCTTTTTGTTATTTGGTCAAATCTCAGGGATCGATTCGTTATTTGATCAAACCTCAGGGGAGGTAAATGTAATTAACCCTTTATTTTACCCACCTCGGTTCATTTTCAGTTTTCCCCTTGCTCCTTTTTTGCCTTGGGTGTCCTGCCTCTTTTCGTCTTCTTCGGGGTGATTACAAGCAAGGTGAAGCTCCACTGTCTCTCTTTTTACCTCTTTCTCAATTCTCACAATACTGTTATTTCATTATGGAGATTGTTTTTGCTATGTGCTGTCGTCATTTTTTGAGTCTCTGTACAAACCCATGTGATGCAAACGCATAAATAATCATCAAGCAACTCGAATTACTAAATTCCCTTTTAGTTTTTAGCGTTTGTATGCATAGATATATAGGTGTTTTGGCGGCAGGGAACCCAAAATAGAGTCATTTTTTACCTATGTCCTTTCCGCATTTCTATTTGCTTTTGCTGCCGGATTATGTAAGAAAAACATTTGCTCTTCTCTGATATGATCAATAGATAAACTTCAGGATGCTATAAAGAAGTACCCTTTTGCTCAATTGGTTGAATTGCTTGGTCATTGTTTTGTTTGGCTGTTTTTAGGTTACTGGAAAATGCCATCAAGATTGAGGCTTTTCCACTCTTTTTGGCATTTTAGAGCTCGAATAAGTTCTACTAGGTTTACTACAGACGTTAGATATGTATCTGATGGGAATCATTTCTTGTGGAATCCCTTTTGCACTGTGGCTGAGTCAGTTCAAGTTGAAGATTCGGTTGTTGTGACTGTTGAGTCTCCTGGACTTCCACATTGGGTTAAATCTTCAAACAATGAGGTGAATAATGTAGAAGATGAGGAATTTGTGCTCCCCTCAGTCTCAGATTGGATTGACAGTCACGAGCTTCATCGCCCAGGAGTTGATACTGAAAGCAAAGTAGGTGATTTGTCAGATAGTGAAGCTGATAAGATTAGTAAGATTCTGAAAAGTGAGTTTAAATCACAGGATGCTGTTCTAGAAGCATTAAATGGTTGTAGAGTTGATGTAACAGAGGATTTGGTTAAGCAAATTTTGGAAAGATTCAGTTTTGATTGGATTCCGTGTTTGGGGTTTTTTAGGTGGGCCAAATTACAGGGAGGTTTTAAGTTGTCACCTGAGTTGTATAATTTGATGATTGATAATTTGGGGAAATTGAGGAAATTTGATCTCATGTTTGATTTGGTGGAAGAAATGCGGCAGTTGGAAGGTTGCATTACATTGGTTACGATAAGTAAAGTCATAAGAAGACTTGCAAAGGCCGGGAGGTTCGTTGATGCTATAGATGTGTTTAGAAATTCGGACCAATATGGAGTGCCCAAGGATATTTATGCATTGAATATTTTGGTAGATGCTTTGATTAAGGATCGAGGAGTTGAGCATGCTGAAGAAGTCATCTTAGAATATAAGGATATTGTATCTCCAAATGCTTCTACTTTTAACATGTTAGTCCATGGCTGGTGCAGAGCTAGGAAACTAGGAGAAGCTAGGAAGACCGTGGGCAAGATGAAAAGACATGGTTTTAATCCTGATGTGGTCACATACACTTGCTTTATTGAATTATATTGTCGTGATAAAGATTTTCGGAAAGTTGACCGTAAGTTAAAGGCTATGCAGGAGCTAGGACTTATGCCTTCTGTGGTGACATACACCATTATAGTGACTGCACTTGGGAAGGCAAAGGAAATGAATAGAGCCTTAGAATATTATGAGATGATGAATCAGAATGGTTGTGTTCCTGATAGTTCATTTTATAGCACTTTGATTGAAAATTTAAGTAAATCC